CAGTGTGGTATTTGGGAAGATTATAAGATTCTGGAATCACGGTTCTAAATAAAAAATCTCTGCCACTCATTAGCTTCCATTTTTGAGCAAATTACTTAAATTCTTAGTTTTCTTAGGCTTAGCTTTTTCTCCTACACGAAATAGGACAGCTACCAACCATACTCGTGTGAGGACTAACCATAGCAACGAAGTAAGTGAATGAAAACACTGCCAGGCACTGAGTGGATGCATGTTCAATGTGTACTTCTTTGTGACTGAATTCCACCAGCAAACTAATTTTGTTTCTCAGAAATCAATCTCAATTTTAAGACTGAAATGAGTAAGAACGCAAGATTCCATATGCTGAACTCTCCCCTGCAGACAGCTCCACAGGAGTGAGACTGCCAGGAATGAAGACCATCAGGAACGAGGAATATCTTAGTGTCTAGAGCACAGGCTGTCTGCTGAAGGTCCTGCACACAGAAACCAAAATCACCAGCAGGTGTCAGAATACCCCCAGCTTCAACCTGCCGCTGCTCAAGACCAGGGCCCAGGAATGTCAGAAGACACTGATGTTGTTTGGGGTTTTAAAATACATGAATTTTACTTAATGTAATTAGAATGATCAGTATGTTAATATGTGCACACTTTATTTTTCAACACAGAAAAATAAATCCAGTCTTCCTTCATAGGCCAGTGATACTTATCACCCACGATATCTTAAGTGTCCCCAGACTGGTTTGTTTTGTTTTTTCCACCAATATTTTATTGTCATACAGTTTATTATTTGTCTTCCTTCTTTTACACAAAAGGCTATTACAGCTCAGAATATGGTCTCTTAAAAACTACTTCCCACCGAAAGGAATCCAGTTCCTTGGAGACATGGCTGATTCCAGGTCTGAGACAAGAAACGTCCAGGATGCATCACACCCCAGAGTAGCAGAGCCAGCAGTCTCTGAGGGTCAGGTTCTGTCCAAGGGCTCAGAGCCAACCCCACGGGCCGAAGATGAGATTGCCTGCGCTTTGATAGAGTCGTAAGTACAGTGCACCAAGCACATCAAGTGTATTTAAATCCAAGAGCTCACATAATGATATGAAGACTAAAAACAAACATCCCACCGGTCACTTTGGGATATTACTAGGAAAACCAATTCATAGTTTTGAAAATCAGTAAATAAAGGGAGAGAACGGAGCATTGGCCTGGCCTTCCTGATACAAACTGTACCTCTGACAGCAAAAGTGCTGACAGCAGGGTAATTTTCCCATACATCACCTTTATATCTGGATCCCAATTTACAGCAAATGCATCTTAACACAGTAAATAATACCAAGCAGCAAAATCCAGACTGTGAGAAAACACAAGTCAGTGTCTACAACAACCAAACTATAGTTTGTGTGTTTGTGTTTGTGTGTGCGCGTGTGCGCGCGTGTGTGTGAGGGTGACAGTGAGAGCGAGCGAGCGCCACACATAGGAGGGAGCAAGCACAAGGGCCAGAGCCTGGAGATTAAAATATAAAATAAACTAGAGACACATCAGCGGAGACAACCCACGAAACTGGATACTTTACAATACTGAAAAAGGATTAATTTTTTGTTATGGTATCATGGCTGGTTTGTGGTTGTGTTTTTTTTTTTTAAAGTACTCTTCCTTTGGGGATACATACCAAACTATTCTTGATGAACTATGATGTCTGGGATTGCGTCAAAATAATCCACCGAAGGGACAGCGGAGAAGCAGCTTGTGTGATGAACGGAACAAGGCTGACCGTGAGTTGGTAACCGTCGAAGGAGAGTGAATGGGACTTGGGGACACTTTTCTCACTGATTTTCTATATGTTTGCTATCTTCCATTAAAAAAGATCTTGACACATTTAAACTTCATTTCTTTTTTAAAAAGTTTAAGTTACCCAGTGACAAAGATAAATTTCCCAAGTGAGACAATCTCCTCTTAGGTTACTTCACTAACGGCAACTCTCACACAATGGCATTTCTGGTCCACCCCCCTTGACAGTGGGCCATTATGGAGTCAACAAGGCTATGTCTCTGTCTTTGATAATCATATAAGCTCAAAGAAATGTCCCAAAGTCAAGTGCAGTACAATACAGATTAACCTTGTAGTAATTTGAGAATTTCACCCCCTCATACTGAAGTAATTGACAAACATCTGAGGCCTTCTTAATCTATGCAAAGATCTACAGAAAGTGTCCAGCTAACTGCTTTAGTGTCCCCATACCTTGCAGCTGATGCCTAACTGACTCCTTTCAAAATCAATTTTGATTCTAGAAATATTTAGTGAGACACAAGACTGGACCTGGGAGAGATTACGGAGTAAGAGTTAAGTGTCGGCCTCCTTCATCTCACTTTTTAACGGCCTACTTTTCATTCATACAGTGTTTCTAAGCCCCTTGCTGATTTCTTCTCCTCAAAAACCTTTTTCACTGGTTCCTACGGTGGTTCTCAACCCACAGCGTACTGACCCACTACGGTGTGCGTGGAAACCTCTGAGGGGACTGTTTCACTGTCGCAGTGAGTGACGAGGTGGCACCACCTACGTGACTGCACACGAGCCCAGGAAGGTGATGACCTACCTGACATCCACGCAGCACCCACCCAAGACAGTACCGCAGCGCCCTACAGAGAGTTTTCCATAATATGCTGTCCTTCAAGTGCACATTCTTCCAGAAATAGTCCTCAGATCTTACTATCTGCATTAATTAACAGTCTCTCCTCTGTGTCCCAGAACAACTCTTGTCTACCCCCTCAGAGCACATAG